TGAAACATTTTGTTTCATTTACCCTCATGAGTTCTCTGGGAACCAGGCATTTCTGTCTGATAAGAAGGAGGTTGGAGAGATTTGAGGGTTTGTTTTGTTCTTCCTTTTTAGTGTATGACTATCCAGTGCTTATAAAGTGGATATAAAGTAATAGAGAGGGCAACACTGGCCACAATAGAGATCTGTTAAATCAGCTGTAGGCTGTGCTAGTTCTGTCTTAACCAAATGAAGGGATGGTGAAAGGTGGGTGGGAAAGAGAAAACATGGTCTTACAATGCAAACACAAACTATGGATGAATTGGGCTTCTTACAATTTTAATCAGTATCATACTTAAAGTTCATGCTTTCTTTCTGGATGTTAAAGCCATGAAGTAGCAATTAGTTTGATTTACTAAAGACCTGAGGTATTGTTTTCCTTTATTATTGTGGTTTTTTTAATTCATACTATGTCATGAGGTACGCTTTTACTTTATTATCATGTTTTATTTTTTAATTCAGGCAATGCCAAAATGTATGCACTTTCTTATAGGTTAGCTATTATAATTTAAATTTTCTTTGTATGGAAAACTGGAGCATGAAAAGATAAAAATCAAAGCAAGCATATTTTGCCTGGTTTTTCAGGTTTCATTGCGCAAGTACAGGGATCTTTATTGTAACAACTGAGTGATCAAGATTATTGGCATTATTGTATTTCTGCATTTACGATTGATTATACAGGGTTTGTTGTTTTAAAATGGATCATGACTAAACTAGTAAATGTTGTAAACAGTATTATATATACATTCCCTTCCAACTCTTTTCCTTCTGTACAGAATCTGTAACTCAGAGAATTGCTTATGGAAAAATATTGACATGAAAATTGGTCAGAACAGTCTAGTGTTTAGCCAGAAAATTACATTCACACATCTTTTTCTACATACCCCTCTAAGTCTATTACAGCTGATCTTGAATTCCAATATGCAATTATGCATATTTGTACCACATTATAAAAATGCCCAACCCCATCTCTGTTTGTTGCTGTTGGCAGAAGTGGCAGTAATGTTGCAAGACCCTCAGCCATTAGCGTAGCTGTCCAAGCAGAAGTACTTCACTTGTTCCTGGTACATAGAGCAGCTTCAAAAGTATTGTCTGTGTTTCAGTAAAACATAAAGTGCATTCCTTATAATGCAAGGTTTACATAAATAATAATCCGTAACCAATGTATTATTCTATATGTGTGGTTTTCTATATATACAGGAGTTTATTCTGAATACCCTAATTTTCAAATGAATTTATAAAAACTAAAAAACTAGAATACTTAAGGGGAGTCAGCATTTCTCCATCATCAAAAACAGTTGTAGTCGTCCAGTTATGGAAGGGGGTAGAGAGAAAAGCCTAATGTTTTCCTGCCTCCTTGTGTCAGATAGCTTCCATGTCCACCTTGGTGGGGTTTCACACTCTGAACCCTAGGTAGGCAGGATTGGATTTAAAAGTTCACTTTATGGCAACCAAGTCTGCTCAGCCCGCCCCGTCAGCTGTCACCACAGTCCCTGGGAGCACATAGGCTGTGTGTACTTTCTCATTTGTAATGCTGGATCCAAGGTGAGGCAAGGTTGGCAAACTTAAACTTTCTCTTCCTGTGCCATGCAAAGCAGAAGAGAGTTTTGATTTTTCTCTGATATTTCTTAAATCCTGCACACCCCTTTCAACTCCATCTCTCTTCTCAATGCTAGATACCTTCTAACTTTTGAACAAAATCCTCAGTCACCGACATCTTTTCAGACAAAATCACTTACCTAGTTGTGCCTTTTGCGAAGTATCAGCTTCGTAAATATTTGTTTTGGTGTACTGGGGAGAGACTCACTGGCTGTCCCACAGTACTACCCAGGCAGAGAAAGGGTGAGAAGAAGCTGGAAATGTAGCCTCAGTTCTAGCAATGGAGACATCATCCTAGTTCACGAGGAAGTCCTATTGCCCACTCTTCCTCTTTATTGGCACTGTGATCTAACCAACTGAGCTGACTGGCTGGTTACTCTCATTCTTTATAAAAGCATCAAATTTCAGAAGGCAATTTTACATCTCTCCAAAGGCTTCCTTTCAGTGGTCACTGCTGCATAGGCTCATTTAAAACAACTAATTTTTAGCAAGCTACCTTGGTGATCTTCATTAAATTTCATCTACCTATGTGTTAAATACTTAAGGTTTTGACTTTCAAATACACTCTACCACAGGCTTCCTTGAATTTTGTCTTTTCTTATGCCCTCTGAATAACTACTTTTGTATTTCCTTTATATATGTAGGTCCTTTCCTATGAAGTGACTCTGTCAAGTCCAGTTTCACTGCTTGTGGCTTGACAAATTCCAGGTCTTTCTGAATCATGATTGGAGTTGTTTGGTTATGCTGTGTCTCCTATAGGCTGTCATTATGGCACTAGTATTGTAGGTAGGGTGACCTCTGGGAAAACCACCTGTGATTTCTGAATCTTAAGGCAACTGATAAAGAAAACCATGTGGAAATATTAAGACATGCCTACTATTAGGCAAGCAGTTTGTAAAATGTAGATAATATAACATCGGAGACTTACTTGCTTGCTCCATTGATGAAGATGTTTAAATGTTAATTTGGATTTCATTCTTTGATTTTTGTAACTTAATATAAAAGTTTTAAAACTTTCAGTTCACATTTGTGCTTATTTTACCTGCCCTGGAATTGAAAACCATACATTAATTTATAGTCATGAAGGAGCCCTTGACCAGTAATCCACCTCACGAAAGCTTGAATACATGGTCCATAGCGCATTCTCCCATCACTGCACAAGACTTCCATCCAGAACATGAGTAACAAACACCAAAGCAAGGGAAGACTAGTTTGCTTTTATTTATAAAATGTTTTTTTCTTCTCTCATATGTTATATCCCAACCGGTTTCCACTCCTTCCACTCCCCCTGTCCCTCCTCGCGCCTCCCCTCTCCCCCAGATCCATTTCTCCTCTGTTTCCCTTTAAAAAAAAAGAGAGAGAGAGCAGGCCTCCCAGGGATGTCCATGGGAGGACAAGTTACAGTAAGATTAGACACAAACTCTTGTATGGTTTGTGGCTGGACTAGGCAACCCAGTAGGAGGAAAATGGTCCCAAGCACAGGCAAAAGAGTAAGAAGCCCCACCCCCAATCCCACTGTTGGGAGTTCCACAGAAACACCAAGGTACACCAACATAAGGTACATGCAGAGGACCACACTGAGACCCATAACAGGGTCAGTGTTTGCTGCTTCAGTCTCTGTGAGTCCCTATGAGTCCTGCTCAGTTGGCTCTGTGGCCTGTGTTCTCTACCCCTCTGATCCCTACAAGCCTTCCTCCCCATCTTCCACTGGGTTTCCTGAGCTCTGCCTAATGTTTGTCTGGGTCTCTTCATCTGCTCCGTCAGTTACTGAATGAAGCCTCTCTGATGACGATTGGACTAAGCACAATCTATGAATATAGCAGACTACCATTAGAAATCATTGCATTGACTGTTTGTTTGTTTGTTGCTAGTCATGTTTGGTTCTTTCCTGGGTCTCTGGGTTATCCTGCTTCTGGTTCCTGGCTATCCAGGCAGTGTTAGTGGTAGGTTCCTTCTCATGTCATGGGCTTCAAGTTGGACTGGTCATTGATTGGCCACTCCCACAAGTTCTTTGCTATCATTACCCCAGAAGATCTTGCAGGCAGGACAAATTGTAAGTCAAAGGTATAGTGGCTGGGTTGATGCCCCAGTCCAACTGCTAGGAGTCTTGCTGGTTATAGAAGATGGCCAGTCGTCTCTCTTTCTCCCTTCATTCTTCCCGCCCCACAATTGATCCCTCCTGTTCCCATCCCCACCTGCCCTCAGTCCATCTAAAAAATCTGTTCTATTTCCCCTTCCCAGGGAGATCCATGAATCCCCCTACTTGAGCTTTCCTTGTTACTTAGCCTCTCTAGGTCTGTGGCATGTAGCAGGATTATCCTTTACTTAACAACTAATGCCCACTTGTAAGTACATATCATGTTTGTCTTTCTGGGTCTGGATTACCTCACTCAGGATGATCTTTTCAGTTCCATCTATTTGCCTTCAAATTTCATGTTGTCCTTTTTTTTAACAGTTGAGTAATGCTCTGCTGTGTAAATGTACCACATTTTGTTTGTCCATTCTTCAGTTGAGGGGCATCTAAGTTGTTTCCAGGTTCTAGCTATTATGAATAAAGCTGCTATGAATAAAACTGAGCACATATCCTTGTGGTAGGATGGAGCATCCTTTGGGAATATGCTTAAGAGTATGATAGCTGGGTCTTGAGGTAGATCGACTCCCAATTTTCTGAGGAACTGCCGTATTAATTTCCATAGTGACTGTACAAGTTTGCACTTCCACCAGCAGTTGAAGAGTGTTCCTCTTCCTCCATATCCTCACCAGCATGAGCTGTCACTTGTGTTTTTGATCTTAGCCAATCTGACAGGTATACGATGGAATATCAAAGTAGTCTTTATTTGTATTTCCCTGATGGCTGTGGATGTTGAACATTTCTTTAAATGTTTCTCCATTTGAGATTCCTCTGTTAAGAATTCTCTGTTTATTTGTACCCCACTTTTTAATTGGATTATTTGGTTTGTTGATGTCTAGTCTATAAAATGTTTAATGAAAAGTACAGAAAATTCAAATGGAATTGAAAATCCTTGTGGTTCACAATAGTTTGATTATTATTAAGCAGACCACAATAATTAACTGTAAAGCTTAACTTTCTCAACATAGTGTACAAAGGATTAGCAGATCATTCATTCACTGGCTGCCTCTAGTTAGTAATCATCATGTTAAACACCCAGGCACTCACCAAGTCACTTGTGGTCGAGGTATAATTTTGCTTTTATTCCCAAAGGGAAGTATCTTTTACTTTCTATAAAGTATCATCAAATCAGGGTCCCAGGAGTGTAACTAGCATATTATTTTCTGTGACCACCATGTTGTCATATGTTAGTTAAGATACATACCAACATTTACAGTATACTTTTTCATTTCAGACTGTTTTACCATCAACAATTGAATATTTCACACAACATTGCTGCCTGGTAAGTAAATTTTTATTGTCTCTCAATTGCATTTCCAAAATATTGAAGTCCAAAGAAATAAAATGTATTCATACAAATTTACCGACTCCAAACAAATAAAAAGTGAATCTAAGGGCTGTAGTGAGTTTACCACCACCATAATTAAATTTGAACAGAATATATTTTGATATTGGTAAGGAAAAAAAAAACAAAGACTATGAACCCATTATCACAGTATTGGTAAACATTTTGAATGACTTTGGCATGGGTGGAAGTATTGAGATGGCTTGTTTAGAAGTCTTTCCAGAGATAATTTTTTCCAAAGAACTTCTGAAGAAACAGCAACAGCTATGAGGTGAAGCTAGCCACTGATGTCTCCTATGGAGAATGCAGTAATTTTAGCATTAAGAAAACACACAGAAAGTCTTTCATAAACATTTTATGTCTCTTTGAACTTCTGGTTTATATTTTATAATATTCTGTAAATCTGAAATATCTTTGCTTCTTTTGAATTTTAAAAACAGACATAGCCACTCTTGCATATATCCACAGGAAGAAAGGGAGAAGACTCGGTGTACGAGAGTAAACAAGTCCACCTCTGGAAATGAATGGCACCAAGATCAGAGCTCATGTAAACATAGGTTTAAAGTTTGGCTCTGTCTTCTGGTGAGACTGTGTATAATTTCTGAAAGGGTAGCACTGTGTCCTTTGAACAGTCTTGGTAGTAGGTGTCTAAAGGAGAGCATGGCAGGACAAAGCATACAGCGGTGGGTCATGCTCAAGTCAGAGACAGCCTGGAAGGGCTGAGGTTGCTGGAGGCTGGGCTGCAGTGAAATGCACTGACATACTCCAGGGGGAGGAGGAGGGAAGGGGTGCCTTGCCTGGTGGCGGCGTCTCACTCTTCTGCCTGCTTCTCTGGCCTGTTTAGTCCTGGACAGCATAGTCATCCATAAAGTTACACTCTGGAGTGCACTTGCTATGACTATGCACGAAATGAAGAAAATCATCTCTTGGGGTGATGAAGATAGCTTTCTAGTGGGAACTTTCCATGTCCCTTGCACATAATCCATAGCTGTCACTCCATTGTTTCTAATTCTGTGACCCATCTATCTCTGTCCCCGAGGGGATCCAGCTTGCCCCTGAATGCCACAGCCTTTAGGACTGTAACTCCCTCTCTCCCTACTCCCCGCTTGACCTGTTTTGCTACCCAGAAAAAACCTCCTTCCTATCAGTGTGAGCCTAGAGGCACGAGGGACAGTCTTACTTGGTAACTTTAATTTGCTGCTCCCTTTGCATCAATCCCAAAATGACCTCATCACAAAAGAGCCAAAAATTCCCACTCTTGCTGACTTGCAAGAAAGCACCTTTCTCCCCTATTCCTCTCCAGCACAGAGAAAGTGTTTTCTGTTTTTATGCTCGGAGAAAACGTGTATTGATGTTCTTTTGCATTCGAGTGTATGTCATTTACAGGCAGGGAGATGTAAAGTACAGGGCAGTGCTGTGTGTTAGCAGTTTCTCTGTTTTAGTAAATGAAATCTCCTAGGGAAAGGAGAACATATCTTTTCACTAATGAATAAATATTTATTTTCATTTTAAAATGATACATGTTAATTAAAAATAATTTGGAAAAATACATAAGAGTAAAATGAAGAAAAATTAAAGTAATTATTTCTATAATTTAAATCTAACCATTAATAATTATTTGATATATTTCCTAACTCTCATTTTCCCCTGAGGACATATTTTTTGAATATGCCATACTCAGAATTCCTCTATAATTTTGTTCCTTCTTTCAAAATTTAACATAAGAATTTTGCTTTAAGTTACAAAGTCTTCATAGACATTTTAAATAAATAAATACTATTTCTATAATCAAAATACCCAACAAAAGCATTACACTTTAGCTTTTTTTACCTCCATAATCTCTTGCATATGAATAGTGAATGAACCAGTCAGTAAATAATGGATAAATGAAAGTTCAAATGAAGTATATATATATTTAAGATTATTTCAGGAAATATTTCAAATACATGAATGTAGGCAGATTACAATAATGAATTCCCATGCATTCCTCATCTAGCTTATTTAATGCTTAACTCTTGGCCTATCAGTTTCCCACTGTATTGCCTTGTTGTGGTAAAGCAAACCTCAGATATCATGGCAGTTAACTAATTAACTAATATTTCGGGTTCATCAGGACTCTTGAACATGTTGATGTTTTAAAAGTTTCAGATACATACTTCTCATCATTGTATGAAACACTGTTTTTCTTCTCAGTGTCTTGGCCTCCTGTTTTCTAATATGTAACAATTGATTACAAAAGTCTCTTCAGCTTGTTTCATAACATCTTCAGGCACATCTGCAAATCAAAGGGCAGTTTGCTTCATGAGAGACAGTTCATACCAGTGCATAGATTTCTGGGGCAAATGGTTTGTGTGTGCGTGTGTGTGTGTGTGTGTGTGTGTGTGTGTGTGTGT